CCGTTACACCAAATCCAAAAAATCCACTTGAATTTTTTTTTAAAAGGGATTGGAAAAAATCCCATGTACTCACAGTACTCACATGTATTTATCCCGGATAAATAATTTATTAAGAGGAAACAAAGTACAAGCGAGTGCGCGGAAACTTTTCAAAAAATTTCAATTCATCTCATCAATTTGATTTGTGAAGACTCCGAGTAAAGTCTACCATTAAGAAAAAACTATTGTGCAAGTGAGTACTTGGATATTGTTTTTAAAAAATCTCAATTCATTCTATCAATTTGACTTGTGTTTTGGCTCGGGTAAAGTGTTTAGCCTACCGCTGTTGAAACTTTTGAATGTTGCCAAATATCTCCTGATAAAAACGTATCTTGAAAGAAAGTTATGCAAAGTTTTCTTTGAAATTTTCAGATATTTTGGATTCAATTGTGAACAAAGTTGCTGAAAAATTGGAAGACAAATATTTACAGCTCGCCCGATTAAGTCGCATTTTATGAGAGGACATTTGGCAACACCTAAAAGTTCATGTGACGTTTTTCGTTTTAGCATGGTAGGAATCTCTCATGGGCTCATCTTCTCCTTTCACAGAACCGCATTACGCAAATTGGAACTAAGTCACCTGAGCCATTGCCAAATTTCTCTGGACAATGTATACATTGTGGGAGAACGGTGCGGTATAAATTCATTTTAAAATTTCAGAAGATTTCTGCCGTGACTTGGAGCGCATTCCCTGGAAGGAGGGGTAGCAATGAGGGCCCTTTTCGAGCCCACCCTACATTTTCTCAACTTCACGATTTTATGTTCATTGAAGGTCAATAATTTACGGAACGCATGATGGTCCAGTCTGCAGTATCGCTCTCTTATCGGGTCTAATACAGTTTCGGCGTAGATATGGGTCTGATGGTCCGTTGTGGCAAAAATTGCGGATTTACAGTCAAAAGCCAAAAAATCCACATTTTTTGCCATGACCAGACTTCAGGCCCATCTTTATGCTAATATTAGATTTGAAAAAAAACGAGAAATAACCAAACGTTGTGCATCTAGTAAAATATAGACCTTCAATATGTAACATAACGGAAAGTTGACTTTTAGAGTGGCTCAAGAACAGCTATTATCGACAACCTTCCTTAGAAGAAAAAAAAAAAAAAAAAAAAAAAAAAAAAAAAATCGTGCAACACTTATCCTGCGCGATAATACATTTTTCGATGCAATTTGGCAATGGCTGATGCGATTCGCTCCTTTTCTGCTCACCGTGGTCTAATTTAAAATTGGGGGATACTTTGAAAATGAAGGCGCTCTCGGCATATGAGATTAAAGGGCCGTCAAATATTGATATAGGTTGCCCATTAGATTCATCAGTTTTATAGGGGCTTTCCGAGCGACTTCTTAGCATTCAAGATGAATTTGAGGGTTCACGGTGTGCCTGAGCGTGGAAAAAAAAATTAAAAAATTCTTGGAAAAATCAACCGACACCGACGAAATTGGGAAGGGAGAGCTGTGGGAACAGAGCAGTCAAAAATCGGAGAAAATTTGCGAAAAACAGCGGCTCCTCAAATCAAGAAAAATCAGCCACGGATCAGGAGATCCCATAAGTGAACCTGTTACCGTGCTTACCTAAGTTTACCTGAGTCTATTAACCATGGGAACCCTTATAAATTACGTAACGCTTAAGAGAAGAGGGGGCCGAGGATTGCGTCACATGTTTTCTGTATTTTCGACATTTAGAGTCACGTATTTTATGAACGGCCCCTTGGTCTGTAGGTCTGATTAGTGCATTTCGTAACCTGCGAGCCTATATTATTTGTTCGGCCAAGATTGATGAAGATCAGAGCCGTTCGAAGTTGAGCCTTCCTACGAACCTGACCCATTTTGTTTGTGACAGCGGTGATCTCTGCAAACAGAACCGCTGTGGAAACAAGAAACAAATCAATGACTGGTGTCGAGATACCGGGAAAAGCTCCCTCTTAGAAAGCAGTGCGGTCCTGCTCCAATGTTTTCAAAGGCAATCGCTCATCGTTAGACTCAGAACAGTCTAAAGTTTGCCACGTTAATTGAACGGCTCGCTGTAAGAATGGTGTACGTCCTATCAAATCCCTGCGGTGTATACGATCTTCTTTGACGAAGCCACTCCAAGTTGTATCAAAGGGGTAAAATCTTCGCTTGGAGTAAGGCTTTACCAAGGGTTCATTTTCAGAGGCTACGCTGAAATCTCCCAAATCTTGTGCCCGAAGAACCTCATTTGTCGGAGCGAATTTCAGATCCTTTCTGTGCTGTAGATTCGGATCAAATCGTGGAAAATGAGTCATGTCGAACATTTGCCTTGGATTATACCTTATGACAACCAGAGTCAATATATTTTAGAGACCCCGCAATAACACCTTAATCAATGTAATCAGCAGGTGAAGAAGAAGTCAAATTCGGAGATAACACTAGCGGTTGTGTCAGTAGCCATGTTTGCAGACGAGCAACTCGTACAAAACAATGATATATTTACACGTGAAAACTAAACAAATTTCTGCAGTGAGAAAGGAGACAAAACTGCTGATTGTAGCCTCAAACTGCCTCTAGAGAGCATCAAATTGTCAAAATTTACCGTAGGTAGCTCCCCGGTCTCCCTGGAAACCCCCCCCCCCCCCCCCCCCCCCCC